CCACCCAGGTGGTACACATGCTCAAGTACCAGGCGCCTGTGCTGGCCCTGGCCCTTGCGCCGGACAACTCGTCGCTCGTCGCCGCTACCACGGACCGGGCGCTGACGATAAGGCGAAGGGACCTCCGCCACGCGGCGGCACTCGCGGAGAGGGAGATGGCCAAGTCGGGGAGAATCGGGGGCCCCGTGGGATCCGACGGGGGTCCCCGGTCTGTCCGCACCGGTACGGCGAGATATTTCAACCGAGGGAAGACGGAGGGGGCCGGGGAAGGGGACGTGAAGGTGAGAAGCTATTTTTTTTTTTGTGTACGTTGATGTCGGGTTCATGGTTGCGGCGACAGGCTCGTGTGTATGGATGGAGAAGGACGTCATTTACTTGTTTCCATCGGCGGTTGGGATATGCGTATAAAAAATTACACGTTTTTGAAGGCCATGCCGATCGTTTCGACAACTGTTCGGAAGATTGGTGTCTGTTTAGGAAGCTTTTCACCCTGTTCCGAGCAGCGTTTTGATTGACCGCTTCGCGGAGAAGCCCAAGAAACAACGCATGGCATCAGTTTTTCTGCAACAAACTAAATAAACGTCACTGAAAGCACATGGCATGTTGCTTCTGTAGACGTGTGTACCAACACCAACGCCAGACACACCGCATGTGGGGACGAACACCCTCTTTGCCACCCCCTGCTTGTGTCTCCACATGCAGTCTGAGGCATCAATGCGTTCAATGTTTCACTTTTTTTTTCTTCTGTTGTGCGGCATTCTCTGCTCTCTACCCCTTCTCCCCGCCCCGGAAAAAAAAAAAAAAAATGGCAAAAAAACGCAGGTAGCGTCGAGGAAAAGCAGAGCTATCGCCTCCTACGACGAGTCTCTCCGAAAGTTTCGTTTTCGCGAGGCCCTGGACAGGGGTCTGGCTACGGGAAGCCCCCTGGTGGTGGCGGCGCTGTTGGAGGCGTTGACGGAGAGAGGGGCGTTGGAGAAGGCGCTGTCGGGGAGGGATGCGGCGGGTCTCGAGCCTGTCGTTGCATACCTGGCAAGGTGAGTCTTTGTTTTTTCGTTTTTCTGGTTTTCTTCACGTGTTGTCCCAAGTCTTGGTTCTCCTGTGTGGGATTTTTTCATCACGATCGACGACAGTAACCGCCAGAGGATGTGTTTGTTGTTTTTCTCTTGTTGTGTGGTGCCGAGGCTAGATGTGGGTTCTCCTGCGTGTGAGATTTTTTCATTACGATTGATCGTGATAACCGGCTGAAAATGAAACCGCTGAATTTTCAACTGGACGAAAACGCGCGAAAATCTCATATCACGAAGCCGCCATCGGGGGCCCCGCGGAAGAGGACATGGCCGGACAGCGAGGGGTGTTCATTCTGGAGTCACAGAGTACTGCGAGACGGACACACGCGCGTACGCTTTTTCGTTTTCTTTTTTTTTCACTCGCTAGTCTTGAATGTGAAGTCAACAAGGACAACAACAGTATCCACTCACCCCATCTCTTGCCGTCCTACTGAGGAGGGGCTATTAAGAAAGGAGGAGCTGCTCGGACTGTGTAACGGTGTTCCCCGCTTAGACTGGTGTCGGACTGTAGTGTTCTCACGGTCACGCCTTCCACGACCGTTCCCGCGACGGTGCGCGAACTACTGCTATTTTCTGCGTCGCAGGCACCTCACGAACCCTCGACATACGGAGCAGCTCATCGCGGTCACGTCGAGCGTGCTGGACATGTACGGGGACGTTGTGGCGTCTTCCCCTAAGGCCCTCAGCCTCTTCGCGAAGCTACGAGCTCAGGTGACACCTTGAGGGCACGAACCACCTGCTGTGGAGGGAACTCCCAGCAGTTGCCTTGGCAGGGTTTTTCAATTATATAAACATGTTGGATATAACATCCAACTAGGGAAGTTGGGTTTTGGATAGCGTCTGCGGGTCCTCCTGCTGCTGTGTGTCGGCACAACAACTTGATCCTGACTTTCTTTGTGTTGGGGTCACTGTCAAGCATTAGCCTAGAAGTTATGATTTGGAGTGCGTTCCATATTGAGGGCTGATATTCGAGAGAGTTTTTTGGTCCAAATATCAGCAAGGTAGGCCTTTCTTGTGTCGATCTTTGTCGTGACAGAGCCTTACTTCATTCTGCTGTAGTTCAGACGGCCCATAAATTAAGGGAACACTTTTTTTTCAGTCGCCACCAGGATTTGTGGTCGTTGATGCCGTTTGAGGCCAGCTTGACCCTTGTCGCGATGTGGGTGTCATAACCCTGACGATATTCGCCGGTAGAAAAAAAAACGCCTTTTTCATCCGTAATGAGAAGATAAGTCAGTCGGGGAGAGGGAAGTAGCAAGAGGGAGAGACAGAGAGGAGAGACAACAGGGAGAAAGATAACGCGCGGGATAGAGAGAACCCGCATCCAGAAGAGTGTACATCATGGACGCACATCAAGTACAAGGCGAGCAACATGGGAAACATCGTTGTGTAGGAGCACATCTGAGATCGAAAACAACGCTGCGCAGCAGCAATCTGTGTACTACCCGCGAACGCTGACCGATTTAACTAACAACCAACGTGTTTCCAGGGCTGCGTTCACGCGTGCCCAGCACTTTCGGGGCGGCAGCCATTTCATCCGGAAACGGCGACGTCACTCCGTACACCCGGCGGTTGTTGTCGCTGCTTTTTTGGCCCATTTTTTGTCGTACAGGTGAAACGGGAGGTAGGCTTCCAGAAGGACATGCTGTCGATGCTGGGGGCGATGGACGGAGTTGTGTGCGCGGCCGGCGACGGCCGGGGGGGAGATATTGGAGGCGTTCCCCCCTAATCACGTCGGGTCGATGATGGTACTACCGCTGTTCATTGGCAACGATGGAGAGGTTGACAAGGCGTTACCGCCCAGATCATTGCGGGTAGATGATGGTGCTGCCGATGTTGTTGACAGGCAACTTTTAGAGACGTTGACAAACGTGCGTGAGCACCGCGCGGCATGGATTTTGTTGACGTGCAATGGTGTCAAGGTGAGGTGGGAACTGTATTTCCCTTCGGTGGTTGGCGTTGCACCACGTGGAATGGAGGCGTGTGTCTGTGTTTCACGCACGGTCCGTTTTCGAGCAACTCATATTCCCCGATTTGGCGGCGCCTACCAGCTAGGCTGCGCGGATTTCTTGCCAACAGGTAGGTTGTACCAGTCCTCAGAACGGTCCCCCAATGGACACACATCGTTCCTTTGGGTGAACCAATACCTGTGGGACTTTCATTGCCAATTCTTAGCTGAGGGAGGATCCCGTGTGTTCGCCTCCCCGTCGCGAGTGTCTGTCTACGCTTCATTTACACTTTTTTTTCGGGGGTCGCAGTTCCGAAGCGTCAATCGTGTGGCTCGTTGTTCACTTTCTTCTTGGTTCGCCGCCATTTCATAGACTGCTGCACATGTACATCATGGGTGCGTGCGGTGGACGATTTTCCGCTGAGGTACAAAAACGTGCTGAGGTGGCCGTGCTGCTATGGTTCGCAGACGATTTCACACTTGCTTTCATTCCATCGTCTTGGTGTAAGGTAGCCCATGCCTGACGCGTATGTTTCGCACGGTAACAACTCGCCGTTACAAGCAAGCGCATTAATCATCCGCTGCCTGGACTTTGCACTGTAAGACTCGTATTGATCTTTGTCTTGGAATCGCAATCAAGTTGGGTGGTGGCCTGAAGCGCAAAAAAACTCGTTGGTGCCAACGGCCAAATCGCCCTAAACTGTGCCCGCCCTCCACGTTTACCTGTGCCTTAGACCCGCTCCCATTGGGACGGTGGCGCGCAAGCACCAAAAACCTACGAAGAAAAGTTCGTTTCATAGGTTCCCAACTCACTCAACCATGTCGCTCGCCCTTTACGGCCTTGCCTGTACATGTATGTCAGAAGAGCTTCGATCTTAAGTCACACACGTGTTGTGTGGTGAGAGAAATATCCGCCCGCTTTCCTGACGAGCAGTCACGAACAAGCGTTGTCTGCAATTAAAACAGTAGGTTCAAAGTAAACCAAACAGTACCAACGGTCACACGCTAGACCGCTCCATCATGCACGCTATTCCCTCAGCAATGAAACCGTCAAACATGTGATCAATCCCAAGCAACCCCATGTTGGCGAACATAGGCAATACAATCTCTGCGAACTTCCAAACTTGGCCAGGCCGGTAGTTCCACCCGTGGCGGGCAATGGACTGTCAGCCACCGCAGCGACACAGGCCACTCGAAACCAGGGGTGCGGCTACTGCGAGTCACACGTGAGACTCACTTCCCCCAGTAATTCCGGCCAATCCACGGTGTCGACTGGCTGGCTGAATGCTGCTCCTTAGGCTAGCTTCTGCAGTAACGCTGGGAAAACATCCCCACCAACCTCCTGGTTGAAGAACATGCCGAATTCCAACGGTGTTAACGTTGGTGGCCACACGACTTCAGCAATCGGCTGATTGAAGCAGTATCCGAAGGTCAAATGCGTCAGCGACTCTTGCCAGAGAACATTGTCGATTGCCTGATCGAAGTTGTGTCCGAATTTTAGCTGCTGAATTGACGCTGGCCATACGGCTTCGGCGATCGTCTGGTTGAAGCCTCCAAAGGTCAAATGCGTCAGTGCTCTGACCAGAGAACATGGTCAATTGCCTGATCGAAGTTGTGTCCAAATTCCAGTTGCTGAATTGACGCTGGCCATACGACTTCGGCGATCGGCTGGTTGAAGCCTCCAAAGGCCAAACGCGTCAGTCAGTGCTCTGGCCAGAGAACATGGTCAATTGCCTGATCGAAGTTGTGTCCAAATTCCAGCTGCTGAATTGACGCTGGCCATACGACTTCGGTGATCGACTGGTTGAAGCCTCAAAAGGTCAAACGCGTCAGTCAGTGCTCTGGCCAGAGAACATGGTCAATTGCCTGATCGAAGTTGTGTCCAAATTCCAGCTGCTGAATTGACGCTGGCCATACGACTTCGGTGATCGACTGGTTGAAGCCTCAAAAGGTCAAACGCGTCAGTCAGTGCTCTGGCCAGAGAACATGGTCAATTGCCTGATCGAAGTTGTGTCCAAATTCCAGCTGCTGAATTGACGCTGGCCATACGACTTCGGTGATCGACTGGTTGAAGCCTCAAAAGGTCAAACGCGTCAGTCAGTGCTCTGGCCAGAGAACATGGTCAATTGCCTGATCGAAGCAGTGTCCGATCGCCGACGCTGGCAAAGACAAGTGGTCACTTGGTTGATTGAAAGAGTCTCCGAACGTCAGATCATGCAATGACGCTGGCCACGAAATGTCATGGATCGTTCGGTGGAAGCAGCCCCCGCATCTCAAACGCTGCAGTGTCGCCGGCCACACAACGCAACTAATATCCTGATTGAAGAGGCGTCCAAGCACCAGCCACTTCAGTAACGTTGGCCACGAGACGTGGTCGATTGACCCGGAAAAATCAGTTTCTGCAATATGACGCCGGCCACGAAACACCATGGATCGGCTGGTCGAATGCTATATCCGAACACAAGCTCTTCTTGCAGTGATCCTGGCCAACATACATGGTCGATTGCCTGGTTGAATTCACCCGAAAACATCAGTATCTGCAATGACGCCGGCCGCGAAACACCACAAATTGGAAAATTGAATTTTTCACCGAACTCCAGATGCTGCAATGGCGCCGGCCACGAGACGCGATGAATTGCCTGCTTGAACGCATATCCAAACACCAGCTTTTGCAGTAATCTTGGCCAAGATACATGGTCGATTGCTTGGTTGAAGTTATTTCCGAACTCAAGCTGTAAGAATGACGCTGGCCACGCGATGTGTTGGAAAACCTGGTTGAATCCACTCCCAAACGTTATGTGCAGCAGTGACGCCGGCCACGAGACGCGCTCGACTGCGTGGTTGAACCTGCTCCCAAATGTTCCTTGCAGTAGTGACGTCGGCCATGACACGCGCTCGACTGCCTGGTTGAAGGCATTTCCGAACTCTAGCTGCCGCAGTGATGCTGGCCAACGTACACTGTTTGCGGCCTACGCCACCTTTTTATCGGGTGAGATTGTTTTGGTGATATATTAACTTCACGAGAGGTCGACGACCGTCCTTCACACGGACGAAAGCGGGAGTGCTCAAAGAGCGGCTCCCACACAGCAAGGAGGGGGCCCGTGAATCATCGCGGTGCCCCCTACCAAACGGTAATCTTACCAGTCTGCGTGTCACAAAATCATCCAGCAGATGTATCCAACACCAATGTTCGCAGACCCACGAGCACCCTCCCTGGTTCTTCACGCAAGTGACTAACCATCAATTGGGCAAGAACGCCCCAGGATACATCACAATATACCAACATGGTAATTTATGGAGGGGAAACCCGGCATAACAAACCATCGCTATCACAGCGGATCACAACGGCCGCACTTATTAGAGAGGCCAAGGCGAAGACAAGAACGCGAGGAACTACGTTCCCCCGAACGATGGTCTCCCAACGCCCCCTACTCCTGCCATTGGTAACAGACCGCAACAGTTTTGTGCGTTTCCCCGCATGGAAAACATGGCCGCTCCCAAGTGCTAGAAACTGCCGGCAAATTCATCAGCTTGCGCCGGTGATACTGCAGACTGGCCCCGCTAAGGGCCTTGGTGAGGAGGTCCGCGTGTTGCTCCGTTGTCGGGACAAACTTGACCGAAATATTCCCCGATCTAAACAATCCGCGGATGAAATGAAACCCCACGTCGATGTGATTCGTGCGACCTGAGCTGGGAGGGTTCTGCACCAACGCTATGGCCCCCTGGTTGTCCTCAAGGACCTTGATGCTGCTACCACTGGTCTCTGGGGCGACAAACGAAAGCACAGCACGCACAAACAACGCCTCCTTGACACCCTCCCCGGCAGCAATGTAGTCGGCTTCCGTCGAAGACAAAAACACGATGCTCTGTGTCTTGCTACCATGGCTGACTACGGTACCTCCGACCGTCGTCGCCAACCCTGACACCGAACGCCTATCCTCCGTGTCGGCGTAGCTAGCGTCTACGTACACGGCCAGCCCTAACCCCGATCCCCGTTGGTAGGTGATGCCGAGGTCCCTCGTCCCTTTCAGGTAGCCGAGGATCTTCTGTATGGCATCCCAGTGCCGCTTCGCCGGGGCGTGGGCGTGGCGCGCTACCGCACGCACGGCGAACGAGACGTCTGGACGCGAGAAAGTCGACACCCACATCATGCTGCCGATGGCCTCCCTCACCGGCCACTCCCCTCCTTCCTCATCCTCTCGCTTCGGCCCTAGATCGGCACCAGGGGTAGAGGGGATGCGGGAAGTTGATTTCACATCGAAGCGTTCAACCATGCTGTCGATATACGCGGTTTGGGAGATTCTAAGAGTCCCAGCCTCTACATCTCTCTCGATGGCACACCCATCAAACCATTGACACTCTCCAAGGTTTTTGGTGGGAAATTTAAGTTTCTTGTTGAGAGAAGCAAGCAACTCCTCGCAATCTTCGTCAGACCCAGCCACCAA